ACCATAAGCTGCAAGGAGGTAAAGCAACATTAATAGAATATTAAGTGCCATTAGGGGAGTACATGAATTCCCCTATAAGAAGATCTACAGGCTGACCTAGGCCTCCAAGTAAAGTTGAGTGTTTGATGACACCAAGGAGGCTGTTGTGGCTCATCTGGCTAGTGCTTTCGTTACTTGGATAAAAGAATATCTGGGAAATAACTGTGTCACTGCCTGGTCTGCCTGTCTCAGTCCTTGAGAAAAACTGTTCCAGGTGTATGAATAAACATAAGCACAGCTCTTCTGCTGTCTTACTTTGTCCTTCAAGCAGCAAATGATTAGAAGATCAGAATACTTGCTTTGGCAGAAAGTAGGGTATTCTCATGTGTCCAACTCTGAAGCACAGAGTTGGATGAATGTTATTGTCTAATTTCACATATATTCTGGGAAAACCCTTGAGGACTCCAGATGCATTCAGACACCGACTTGAGGACTCACAACAACAGCAAAAAAGAAAAAACTAAAGAAAATAAAGTTTGTTGAAAGGAATGCATGATCACAGAACTTGGATATCTCTCTTGAGGAGTGTGAAAAAACACTATCCAAGCGTTGCAAGTCAGTCACAATCCAAAGGAACAGCTGCTAGGTAAATTGGATTGATTAGAACAATGTTTATCCCTTATTTAGGTCTTAGTCCTAGACAATAACACAGAGAAGTATCTTTCTTTTAGTACACCACCACAGGTACAGAGTACAAAAATTCACTGTTAAATTTGTCAAAGCAATGTAGTTCAAGTGGAGACTTTTTTTTTTTTTTTTCTGTTAAAGCATCATTTTGTTTTAGATAAAAAAACATAAAAACATTGCTTTGTTTTTAGCATCTGAAACAATTGTCAGTAAGTAGAATCTCTGTTTTCCAGAAAAAAACCCACACATGAATTCCAAGAGAAAAGGCAAAAGTATTAAGGTCACTGAGTTTTGAAGGAAGGCCTTTATTTTTGTCTTATGTACTAGAACCCCTGAAGAAGACAAATAGGCTGAAAATCTTATATAAATATGCCATAAGACTGATGGCACTATGCTTTTTCATTTGAAAGTAAAAGTTTCAACCCCCCCCACAGAATAAGACAGAAATCAGAATGTTTCTGCTGCGATGTGATAGATTCTGTTGGTGAATCAGTGACTCTATTTCCCACTGCTTTCAGCAGACCCTGTATGAAAGCAGATGACAAAGGCTCTTCTCAGATTGTTTGTTTTGTGTTCCTTTGTGTTTTCTCTTGTGATGAGCCACCACAGCAATGTGTTAAGTCATTAGTGAAGGAGCATCATAGGGTTGACCACTGTGCATGAATCAATGTTTCACTCTTCTGGCTCTTCCTCAGATACCTTCTAGAAATCCACAGTAAATATTTTATGGAAGTTGATAATCAGTGCCTTACAAGAACACTGTTCTTTGCGTCCCGCTCTGAGTAATTAGATGTGAATGCTGTTAGCAGCACTCACTACTAGCAGTGAAGAAAAATAAGACTTAGACATTTAAAGAAAATAAAAGAGGATGAGAAAGTGTTGGCATTAGTCATATTTTTATAGTGTTGTCCTTGAAATTTACTAAATTTATCACAATAAAATTCTAAATTAGCACAATCTCGGTCTTCTGAGAAGTGGTAATTGAACTAGCAATCAGATGTTAACTGGAGAGCTGGAGTAGGTTAGTATCATCAAGTAGAGTTATAGAGTTCTGTCCTAATAAAGGAGAGTGACCATCCAACCAGTGTCATAGACCATGGCTATAGCTCCTTAAAAACACTTCAGTTTGATGCTTGTTTTTCTTCAGCAGCATTAAATCTAGAAATGCATACTAATTATTTCATTTGTTGGCAGAAAAGTACTGAAGTCTACAAAAAGAAGGTTAGCACAAGAATCGCGCTGAGTCCTCTCACATCTATTGACAAAAATCACTACATTTGCATAGCATTAGCTGGCGGAAGGTTTGTGTCTTAGGCAGCTGGTTCTCTCCTCACATCTTCACTACTGGTACATAAGAATACCCAAAAGCAAGGTGTGGAGATGCCTGAAACAATAGTTTGCAGCTTCTGGACTCAATAGCAAAGGAATTTAGCCAATTTTGAGCTTCTTGATGATGAAGAAGGGGAGAGAGGAGAGAGAGGGAGGAAGGAAGGAAGGATTGAAAATAAATCAATAAAGAAAAGAAACAAAGAAAGAATAAAAGAAAAAAAAAAAAAAAAGAGAAAGAGAGAAAAAAAAATCACCAACACCCTCACCTTTAGCCAGGGAATACCTCTCCAGTGGATGCTTTGGTTTTTGTCTGTTTTAGATAGTTATATAGGAAGTGACCTAGATGAGTTGAACATCAACCCTGAACTTATGCTCAGCACCTCTCAGGTGGACTGAAGCTGCCGAGTGAAGAATGAAGCATTCTGTTAAATTGCTGAATCCCAATGCAGTTTTCCTGCTACTTAGGAATTAAGAAACCTACAGATTGCTTAAGAAATATAAAAAATATCAGCCAAATGTTCAGTGTGTAAGTTGATGGCATCTAAAACAACGGTCACACCACTTAGTGGTGCTCAGGCAGAACTCCAGTATGGTCATTGGCTCTCTTTCTGTTTCACAGGCCAGGAATAGTATATACTTCAAAACTGAGGAATGCTAAAGGCACTGATGTGAGAGGCACAAAGATTTCACTGTAAGCAAGGAGAACAATATACCTTGAAAAAAGCACTTGAGTAAGCAGCTAAGATCATCAGACACAGCTTGCCTTTTCTGTAGGGAGATCCAGAAAGAGCAGCCAGTGGGAAAAGCACTGTGAATTACGGACAGCCTCTATGAATTGAAGTGAGTGCTTTGTTTTACAGTTTAGAAGGTAACAGCAACTGTCCAGACTGTGAAGATCAAAAAAAAATATGTTAAAACATTTATAATCTTAATTTCTCCCAGTTAGCAGTACAGCCATCTTGCATTTGAAGAATGGGTGAAATTGGGTGTAAAAAGGCAGTGAACATCCTTCCCTAGATCACGAAGGGATTGGGAAAGGCGAAATGTGATAAATGCAACATGAGGTTTTAGGCTTTGAGTCACATTAGAGCTGTAGAAGTGTTTGAGATAGTTATCTTAGATGCGTGGTAAGATGCTTACACTACCATAAATATAATCACCTAAAGGCTCATTGTATCACTACTATTCTAGCTGATGAATATGCAATCCACCAGGTTGGTGGCAGGTGGTGTAGAGGACTGAATAAGAGGAGTGGGATAGATAACTGCACACCAATGAAAAACAATCTCTTCCTCCTGTTTTTGGTTTGCTAATTGTCACAGTCTCTGCGGACATTCCTGGACTTTTGGATTCCTCCAGCTGTAGTTTTAATCATTTTTATTGACCCAACATACAAGCGAGTGTTGATGATGGAGGGCAGAAGCATCTGAAAGAGAACAAAAGGTTGATAAAGTGCTTAATGTGTTTTAATCTACAGTGTAGTACTTGATTAGAAAGTTACGCTAAAATTGTATACAGTATTTCAGTTCCACAGTATTGCTGTACACAGAGACAGCATAAACTGGCTGCAAGCTGTTATACACTTATTCTTGTCAGAATGTCTGTAAAAGAAAGTGATTTCAGCATGATAGACACCCTGGCCAGAAGAAATGATAAAACTGAGTTAAGCAGAACACTAATTTTATACACTCTCAATTATCTTGAAAATGCAGCTTTTAATGCAGGAAATGAATGTCCATCAACTTCTGATTGAAGGGAGAGAAATAAGAAGCTTGATTTTACTTCTACTCACCTTGCTGGGAAAAGCTGGTTTTCACCCAGTGAGACAAGACTAAAAAAGCCTCACAATCTTTTCTGTAACTTGGAAAGAATGCAGTGTGGTTTTACACACTATCCAAACAAGTTTCCTTTCTCACTGTGGAAGAGTAAAAAGAACTAAATAACAAAAAAGAAGCATCTGAATAAATGCAAGTCTTGAATATGAAATCATCTGATAAGAAAGCATTCTAAAAGGCTAAAAGGTATTTTGTATATTTCCCATGGGACAGTGCACAGAAGCATTAATCTTTTTCAATCTGCAAAGGAAGCAAAAGAATATCTGGAGGTTAATGAGGGTATTCCTTACTATTACAGAAGGGCATGGCACACAGATGTATGCAGACTACATTATCTAGATGTCTAGAATAATTGTATTTTGAAAGATGCAGAACCTAGAAAACTTATCTTTTCTCAGTGGCTGCCAAAGCACAAAGCAGTGAAGCAGAGAGAGTAAATCAAGCAAGAAGGAGTAAGCAGACATACGTATTCTGGAACCTGTCAGCTTATGTCCACCAATCGTTTTTTTTTGTTTGTTTGTTTGTTTGTTTTTGTACCTAACCACAGAGGAAAATATATTGCAAAGTAGAAGATGACCTTTGCTGCCTGTGTAGCAGTGGAAATCAAAAGTTGCTGCAGATTCTTTCTTGGGTACGAGTATGGAAAAGAGTGGAGTGATAAGCTTCCAAGTTCCAAGTTATGAAAGTGGTCAGAAAGTGGAGGCGATATAAATGGACTAAGTCATAGTCTTTCAAGTAAGGCTTTGATGGGACTGTGTCCTTTTAGCTGGAGTAGACAGCTATGAGCAGAAGTACAAACAAAAATGAGAACATATCACTTCTACACTTACTCCTGGGACAGTCACTCAGACATACAACTGCTAAATAAACCTCACTTTACCTATCCAAGACTGAGTGGTAGAACCTACCTTCATGCATCTCATTCATCTAAACACTCCCACCAAAATGAAATGGCTGTGGAGAGGTTTTGCAGGATCTGGCCCCCAAAGCATAACTGTTTCCAAACTCTTATTTAGGCTTGAGGTACTCCTGGTATTCTTGTAAAATATAGCCAAAGGCGGCTGTCATTGATCACATTGTAATTAAAGACCAAGATATTCAAATTCAGTTTAATTTTCTCCTAGCACTACTGAAAATGGAACTCTCCTTCAATGAAAGCCACACTTACAATGCAGGACACAGAGATTTACTGGATAATAGGTTTACAGAGTAATTTGCTACTGACAGCTATCAAAATTTCAAGATGTATTTTGAAATCAGGTCATCAGAGGTTTTGTAAAGAGTAAGGTTTTGATATTGCCCACAAACATTTCTTCTCTTTGCTTCTTTTACTTTTAGTCTTTGGAGATGTGGTTTCCTTCCCCCATCTAAACCTATCCCCAGTTTCTTATATTTTGGACAAGTGAAAAACAGAAGATAAACTGCATTTATCTTTCTTATTTGCGATTGTTCACCACTAAAATTCACTGGAAACATAGGGAAACAGCATTGACAGGCAGTGATGTTCCAAAGAACATGACAGCATTTCTGTTTTTCTCTCAAGGAGAAAAGGAACTGCTTTTCAATCAAATCTACTTCTTTTCTTTCTTTTCTTTTGAGGTGAGAAAAAAAATAATCAAGTCTTTCAGAAGAGAAAAAAATACAATGTAGTTTTTAGGTATGGTTTATCATCAACGATTTGTAACTATTTGCCACTGAAAGACCTTTTTACTGATTTTTGAATACTTTCTTTGCTTAAGTACAATTATTGAGACAGTCTGTAAAAGAAGCAATTCAGTTTGACAACGAAAACCAAATTGTTTGTAAAAAATGTGTATTTTAAGAATTTAATGGTCAAAAGTTTGAAAACTACAAAATAAGTTTCTAGACTAAAATACAGTTGGTAGTTCAGGAAAAATCCTTTCAACCTTTGCTACATGTGGCAACTACTCCAACTTTAATCCAAGGGTGACAGTTTAATTTTCAAAAATGTATTCAATCTTCTGGTCAGATCCAGGGAACGTAGATAAGGTCTGCAATATTTAATTCTATGGAAGAAATAAAAATGTCCTTTGGCAACTAGGTGTTTTTTTGTTTTGTTTTTTTTGTTTGTTTGTTTGTTTTAATTTTGTAAAATAACATTGAGAAAAAAAAATAAGAATGCATAAGAATGAGGGCACTTTTTAGTACACTTCAATCTGAAGAAAGTCACATATTACTAGTGCTATTATAGTGATTTTTACTCCTGGCCTATCAACTGTGATCTGCTACAATGACACAAGAAGGATCTTGTCCTGCTTCAAGTAGAAGTACTTTAGAATTCAATGACCATCCTGTGTTTAACCAGTCATAAAAAAGACAGTTAAAATCTTGAAAAACTGTAGAAGTTATGCCTACAGCTGCCTGTGTGCAGAGATAGGCAAGTCATTTATTTTTATCAAAATATTAGTGTTATTTTCACCTCAAATTAAAACAAATACATGTAAGTAGGCATCTAATTCCATGATTCCCAGACCTGTGCAGAAAGTAACTTCTCTATTTTGATCTCACCAGAGACATAGATTAGTGTCTTTTGTTGGTTTCTCTATATCAAGGAGATAATCAAGAAAATATTTCCCAGAACTTATGGGACATAGCTCAAGTAAGTTTAAATACAAATGAGTAGTTTCATTGGCTTTAGCTTATTTGCTAATGCCAGTGTGTGTTGCTCTAAGCCCCAGGGATATGGCATTATTTTGAAGAAACTATGGGAATGAAGAACAAAATGACATACTTAACCTTTGACAGAATTGTGTATAGCTTCTATGTCAAGGGAGAATAGTAAGAATTCTAATATACAATAATTATTCATAAACATCGCTTACACTACAAATTCAGCTGAATTTTTAAGAATCTTTCCCTTAAAATGAATAGCAGTAAGGAGATAATTCTTCCATTTTTTCTTTTTTAGGGAATTAAAATTCTTCATCACACTCTGTGACGGTGAAGGTTAATGTGGCCTTTGTAATTTGAGATGAAACTGACCATGTCCTTCACTTTTGCTGCACTTTTACCATCTCTCCTCAGTGTGAAAACACAGCAGTCTTCACCACTACAGGCAACTTTTAAAGATAGAGGTATCCAACCCAGTAGACCAGGTTAAAGAGCAGGAAGGATGTAGGAAAAAAGACCCTAGAGTAAGAGTCCAATTCTAAGATGTCTATGTGAATCCGTCCTCTCCTCCACGAGCCTGATTTACATTCTTCATAACAACAGAAAAAACTCTGGCAGTCTTTCCCATCCAGACATTCATAGACACATGCCTCTTCAAATTCTTGCCAATACATGGCATTGTTCAATGTGATGACTGTAGTTGGTGGTCTCATATCAAGTACAGAATAATTCTGAGGAGAGAAAAAGAAACAAACAATGTGATGAACTCTTACGGATGATGCAAAATTAATAATCATACGAGAAGTCACGAGACATGAAAGATAAGCTGGGAGTAAACTGTCAAAACCACAGAAATCTAGATTCAGGGACCATCTTTCTTTCCATCAAAGTATGCCTTATCAGATGAATTTCCAGAAAGTTTGTGGAATGCTAAGTTAAATAAGCTGCATTCACTACCTCTTAAACTTACCATGATTTATAAAAACACATATAGTTTGCAACAAATAGCTATGATTTCAGTACAGGATTTTAAAATGCTGTTTGACAGCTGTCTGAACAGGAACCAGCAGTGTGCCCAGGTGGCCAACAAGGCAAACAGCACATTCTGGCCTGCAGCACAAATAGTCTGGTCAACAGGATGTTCCTCTGTACTCAGCACTGGTGAGACTGGACCCTGGTATTGTATTTAGCTGAGAATTCCTCATTACCAGAAAGATACTGAGCTGCTCAAACACATATAGAGAAAAGCAGCTAAGCTGCTAAAGAGACTGCATAAAAAAAACAAACACATGAAGAGTGGCTGAGGGAACTAAGGTTGTTAAGTCTGGCAAAGAAGGGGCTGAGGGGGAACTGCATCAGTCTCAACATGTACCTCAACTGAGGTTGTAGTGAGGTGGTGTTAGTCTCTTTTCTCAGGTGACAAAACATAAAGAAATGGCCTCAAGTTACACAGATGAGCTTTCAGTTAGATATCAGGAAATTTATTCACAGAAAGGGTGGTCAGACATTGGAATAGGCTGCCAAGGGAAGTGTTGGTACCTCTGTCAGTTATGTTTAAGAGATGCATGCAAGGGGCAGTTAGGGATATGGTTCAGTGTTGGACTTCATGGTGTTAGGTTGATGGTTGAACCTGATGACCTTAAGGATTTTTTCCAACCTAAATGATTCTGTGATTCTATGCTCTTCTTGGTGTCCACCAGGACTCCAAGGTCCTTTTCTGCAAAGTTACTTTCTAACTGAATGGACCCCACAGTGTACAGGTGCCTGGAGTTGTTCTTCCCCAGGAGTTTATACTTCTCCTTGTTGAATTTCATGAGCCTTTTTCTCCAGCCTACTTAGCTGGGGCTGGGAGGAGAGCAGTATTCATACAACAGACACCATCTCGGTACCACCTGAGAGATCTGCCAAGGTAAGGCACTACTCAGGTGCCTTGGGCAAAACATTTCAGATGCAGTAATGAAACAAGGTTAATAAAATTATTTCAGATATAGTATATGCATGTTCTCCAGGAGGAAAAAAAATGAGGGGTGGAATTACCTGTACATTGGTTGACTAAGATTACTGAAATTTAACCTTTTAAGTTGCATCACTTCAAGGTTGGCAAAAACTCAAGTATCCTGGGAGTAATTGACTTATGTTGTTCAGCTTCAGCAGCAATTTGCATGCAAATTTGTGACACTTAAAGTAAGCCCCACTTCAATATTAGGAAATGTCAGAACATTTCTCACATCTTAACATTAGGAAGAATGGGTAAAAAACTTAAAAAATCTGCAGGTAAACTATCAAGCAGATGAGACTGACTACCAACCCTAGTATTTTAATTGTATTTCTTTTTCTTGTTCAATTGCAAAAAAAGGAAACTAACCATTCAATGTGCCTTATTGACCAAAGCTTTCAGAAAATTCTTTCCAAGGGATGACAGCAGTAGTAAGTGTATAAATGCAATTCCATTTATAAGGTATTCATTGTCAATATGCAGACTTTCAGTGCTATAAACTCTTCAAATGCAACAGAAAACCTTTTTAAAAACTTGTTTTAAATTATGTCTATAACATAATTGTGAAAGGTAAACTAGTAACATGGAGCTAGGAACTGTAAACGATACACTTTGGCATATAAAAATCAAGAAATATGAAAGAGGTAGTTAAGATCGATCCTTGTTTGTGTTTGCATCAGATATCTGGAAGCAGACCATTCATCTAGCTGCTAAACTGACCTTCTCTATCATTTACATATATGTATATTATAGTATGTATTACAGTTTTAGACTTCAATTGGGTGCTCAGCTTAAACTTTACTTCAGCTCTACTTAACCAAGTATTATCTGGAAATTTGAAGAATATAATTAATTCTATTCTTAGATATGGTTCTAATACACTCCTAACTATGTTAAACTTTTAAACCCAAAATATTTGAAAATCCGTCTGAAAGTTTGCTAAAGATTTTACAGATATACACGGACAAATTATTTTCTATAAAACTCATTAACTAAAACTTCATATACATTTTTGTTGGACTTGTGCTTATTAATTTTTACTAAAATGTAATGTAGAAGTGCAGTACTATGTACAGCAGAGGAACAGAAATCTTGGCTAAGAATAGCACAGAATATTTACACTTGACCCTTCTCTCTCCCAAATCATTTGATAAGTCTTTATAGAAAGAGGCAGGTATGTTCCTCTACCACAGTCAAAAACAAACTGACCTTTTAACAACAAAGCAAAAACAGTATTTATAGTGAAGTCAGGGTGAAGTATAACACAGCATTACAGCTTTCTTAGGAATTATTGCAAATAAATGTCAACCATACATTCATGCCACCATTGCTGTCACAGAACTAAACAGGGTACTTACCATCACATGACCAAAACTGACATCAGGTAGCTTAAATAAAGATAAGAAAAAAACTATTCAGAGGAAATATAAGCACTGTTTCATATGCACCTAATACTAAATACCATTTCTTAAAACAAATCTTTAAATGCATTTCTCCCTGAAACTCTTCACACTGAGCCTTTGAATTATATTCTGCACACTTTGAAACTGCATGAAATCTCAGGAGAACATGCACCTAGTTTCCAACCACTTTAAGTCTTTATTCAACCTTTTTTATTTTTATTTTTATTTTTAATTTAGTAAACAATAGCTAAGAAAGGATTTCCTCACAAATTAACTTATACACCATCAATGTTGCATGTTCTCTCATCTTCTTTTATGTCTGGAAATATGTCTTGCCCACAAGGATACTAAAGACTCTTTCATTCAACCTCTCTAAAGGATAGCAATTTGAGTTTGATCATTAGCAAGTTCACTTTGATTGTCCCATAAATTTCTTTCGATAACACTCTTCTGCCTTTCCCATGTAATGCATTTTTACAAATAGCTATTAGAGGTTTAATGGAGTTTTCATTAACTAAGTTTATTGGTTTCCATGTTTTCTCTAATTCTGTATTATTTTAATCTTTTCCTCTGTTATTTCTTCATTCAATCACTTTCTATAGCTTGTTTCAGTCCACTTCTACTTCCTATTATTCCCAGTATTTACCTTTCTTTCTTTAGTTTCCTCCTTCATAGTTTTCCTATTTGACTTTGTACTGCTGTTTTAAATGATTATATGTAAAGAGCTGGTGTATTGTTATTGCAATGGTCTTTTTGTCTAAAAATGCAACTTTTTTTTCAAAGACTTTGTAAGTGCCTTCCTTTGTTCTTGTACATAGGAACAATTGAGCACAGGACTAAAAATAAGTGCTGGTTCCCAATATGAAGAACAAGATCCCATTTTTAAAATTCATAAATATTCTTAAACCTGTTAAGGCACAAGATAGCTGATGCATTTGAATATACACTGATGTACATACGATTGCATAACGAGCTGTGATACCTGTTTCAGTGAAGCCCTTTATGACTACTAGAAGAGTAATGAGGGGGAAAAGGACACATGGGCAGAGCTGCTGCTTCATGGTCAGCAGGTTCCTTCTGTTAAGAACAGAACTCTAGGTAATTACTTTCCACCAGCTTTCAGAGTGAATAATACCTTGAAGTGGAAAAAGCTAGAAGGAATGGAGTGTAATGAGATTACAGGATGTTACTGAATGATTCTCAACCCTCTGAGCAACAGTCTTGAAAATAAAACACTCCTGTCTTACCGACTTTTTCTTCTTAGTACAGTTTGGTTTCCTGCAGCTGGAGTAGTAGTTGAGTGTTGCATACTCCATCAGAGCAGCAAATACAAATAGAAAGCATACAGTCACAAACAAATCCATAGCGGTGACATAGGAGACACGGGGTAATGACTTTCTTGCAATGGTGCTCAAAGTTGTCATGGTCAATACTGTTGTAATACCTGAAGAGAAAAACTGGATTTATTTTATGTAACATAATTTCTGCAGGCTTAAAAGAATCTTCGGAAAACTCTACGCACAACAGAATGCCAAAGAATACAAATTTTCAGAAGAAATTCATTGTTTTGTCTGGTATAAAAATAATAAAAAACAACTGTAGAGTGAGAAGTATTTACTAAAGAAAGCTTTCCTCAGCTGTTCATATTTGTCTTTGCCCCTCAGTATACTTTTCCTAATCTCCTTAAACTTTGTTAAGAAAAGTAAAAGAAAGCCCAACAGATACGGAACCCAGAACCATTAGTACAAAGAAACAAAGCAAAATCCCTAGAAAACATAAATGAAAACATGATTTTTTTTTTTTTTTTTTTCACAGCAATACTCCTTTCGTGAAAAATCTTGTGCTCAAAATAAAAAAAAAGAAAAGAAGAAAGAAAAAAGAAAATAAAAGAACTTTTCCTGCTGATTATGAATTCTGAAAATACATTTTCACACTCCTGCTTCCTTGGGAGTGCTCCACTGCTGTTTTCTTTCTGGGTAAGGGAAAACAGAATCTCATACAAGCTTCAGATGCAACCTTAATGGAAATAGCTTTTTCAATTTGTACAAAGCATCACATCTTAGATTGATATAGTAATAATGAATATAATCGGGATTACTTAGAGTGAAATACCCTGAAACAATAAAACCAATATTAGAATGAAGTCTATGGGGTGTCAGTTATTTGGCTGTTAGGTAATTCATATCATTTGTGTTAATTCCTCAGCAGAAGATGGCTTTTCATTCTCACTTTGGACTGATGTTTTTAATCATTTGTTATGAACCACAAGTCTTCAGATAGGAAAAACTAAACTCCTCAATGACTTGGAAGGAAAAATAAAGCTCTCACTCAAATAAGTCTCAAAAGAGAGCCTGCTCTAAAAACATAACTGTAAGGTAATCTTTCTTTTTATAGTTAAAGTGGTATTTTGCAGTGGTACATAGTGTTTGAAATGGCAGCAGATAATTTAAATTATACCTTATAGTAAAATTACTTTCCACAAATGGAACTGTGGAGAGTAAAAAGTACCAGTGGATTACTTCTGACTACTTTCTCTTTACTAAAGTATGCCCACCTCTGATTTTTAGCACTTGAAACTACAGCAATTCACAAGAATAACCTGCCTCATTCAAACCATAAAAAAGTCTCTGGAAGAGCCAAAATGATGATTATTGCATGGGCCTGGATTTTCTCTTACAACAAATAACAAATAGAAACAGGAAAAAAAATGTTGCTGGAAAAACAAACAAACAAACAAACAAACAAACAAACAAAAACAAATAGCAACCCAATAGTCAAGATCAAAGCAATGCTGGTAGAAAGTGGGAAATGTGGAAAATTTTCCTTCCATGGGAAACAGACATATTCAGTGCACATCACTTCAATATTTGCACTGTCTTGCACTGTAGTTCATTCAAACTTTAAGCTAACTGATTCATCTAATCGTATATATTCAACAACACAAATAGTACAAAAGAGTTATCCCAGTATGACTGAATGCTTTGCAGATTTTTCTCAGGTTGTGGTTTTCGCTAATTTTCTACTGCTGCTAACATTAGTCTACATACGAATTGCAATTACATTTTTGAACTTCTGCACATACACGGTTTTAGACTTTCTACATATCTTCAACATCTAAAAGATACTACAAAAATATTTGCTTCTTCTCAATTGTATCACAATGTAGGTGGCTGCCGTGGTCCAGTAACATCTCCAGACCCCCAACAACAGCTCTGTAGCTAATGAACCTTTTAACAGCTCCAGACACAAACCCTATGCATTCACTGGAGTGGTCAACTGCAAAGATTTCAGTTGCAACAAATGTTGTCTCATTAGCCTTGATTTGGTCCTTGTTAGCTATAAATACATTTTTCTTCCTGTATGACCATGTTTCAGGTCTTGGGTGGCACTCTTTGTTTTTTTTGTTGTTTTTTTTTTTTAAAGAGACTAATAGCATTCAACCTCAATTGTTTTGACAATGAATCATGTTTTGCTATCAAAATATAAAACCTTAGGGAACAGAAAGTTTGAGAATATCACAAACCATTACAGTTTCCAGATTATGTGTCACATTTCAAATTATGTCAAGGGCATGACATATGAGTGCCATGTGCAGAGCTGGAAACATTCAAAGATGGAACAATCAGATTATTACGTCCATTATTTATATAAAATATTTTCACAATATGACAACCATTATAGAAGAATCATTCTTCATTTAAGCTGAGGATTAGACTTGGTCCAGCTCAGACCTTAGACAAAAAAATGAGCTTTTAAAATAACAAAAA